AAAAAAAAAAAAAAAAAAAAAAAAAAGGAGGGGGGGGGGTCGACAACATTTGTTTTTTTTTTTTTAAAAGATAAACTAAACTTTAGCTGGACACATGATGGGCTGCGAAAAACTTTTCTTTACTGTGCAATTCAAACCCGCCGCCCTGCAAGTTACGAATAGTAAGTGTAGAACAAATTGGAATTCCCTTCTTGTCGCAAGATTTCTTTCCCCGTTTTCCCAATTCCCTAATTCAATAATTTCCTTTCTTTTTTAACCGACCAAGGCGATATTATTCCCTTTCTTCATTTCTTTTTCTTCTTTCTACTCAACACTGAACGCGAAATCTTGCTGAATATTCCCAAGTTCTTTAATTTTCCATCAACACTGCCTCCAAGGTTCTCTGTTATTTCGATCAAAACATGGCTGATAAGCCCATTTCAGGTTTTTTTTCTCCCCGCTCAATTAGTATTAAATACAGATACATGCATACGTCGAATGATGAAAAGATGTAATTTTTTGAATTTATTGGAGAACCTCTGTTTTTGGTGTTCCTTCTATTCGTGTTTGTGAATTCTTGAATATGGATTACAAGTGGTGTTCATAGTTTTGCACTTACTGAATAACATTATTGTTAGATAAAAGGGCTGTGGGTGAAGCATAGACTGTTTGGTGGATCTTTATTTCCTTGTATTTTTGGATGGCTTTTTTTTACGCGTTTACTCGTGAATCTGTCATCCTTCTTTGAAATCTTCGTACTATCACATAATTCTTGATTCTAGTTCATGCTCACGTATTATTCTCACCAATGGTAAATATTCTTGTTCCGTCTAGTCTTCACTGTTATTCTTGTTGCTCTTCTACCCAGTAGGTGTTTAACTTTTCGAGTTTATTGTCCCATGAATTAAATAGAGCCAAGAGCTTAAGCAAAGCTTGGACCTTTACGGTTTGAGCCCCTGAGCATTGCAGATTTACAGTGATAAAAAGTTTCTTGAAAACCTCAGGGTTGGTTTAATTCGGCAGAGACGGTTTGTTTTGATTCCGTAACCACAGAAAGGGAATGTTTTGCGAGAAAAAGTTTACTGTGCACGAAAGTGTGACCTGGTGTTATGATCTTGACATTGCTACTGTTAGCATAAATGCTCAATGAAAACTCTAGAGTTCTAGATATGGTCCTCGAATGTAGCAAAGAGAGTGTCCTGATATCTTGACCTCTTCAGTATGATTACGTTCCCTGTTGATTCTGCAATCTGATTTACTGGTCTATAAATTCTTAAAAAGGAAGCTGATGTTGATCAATTAAAGCACTTATGTCATTATTGGCTGGCTGCAGATAATTTGCAAAGGCTTTCCTTGAATTCGAAGGGGGATTCTGTAGTGAAGAGCCCTTTTGTTTTGTGCTTTGGGGAATTGTTGATTGACTTTGTCCCAACAATTAATGGAGTTTCATTAGCTGAAGCTCCTGCCTTCAAAAAGGCTCCAGGTGGTGCTCCTGCTAATGTTGCTGTATGTGTAGCACGACTTGGAGGATCTTCAGCTTTTATAGGAAAGGTGAAATTTTTCCTGTAAATTGATTGCATTGTGCACTTCTGTTTACATGTTCTCACTGTGTTTCCTCAGTATCAGTATCTTCATGCTTTCTCTGATGCATGATTAATCTCCCATGTCGCATGTCTGTGGGCACGGTTTTGTGGTTTTATAGAAACTTAAGGCACATGGGACTGTCCATTCTGTAAACTTTTTTGTTAGTCCATATAAGTTACTTCATAGTATGCGTTACTTAGATGTGTTTGCTTGTCTTTGGGCATCATAAGGAACTACTAGATTATTATAAACTTAAGTTGAGCTTCCTTTTCTCTTTTAAGTTGGGTAGGCACTTTATTAGGTGCTGATTTTTACAGATCTTGGCTATATGTGTACACCATATGCATTTCGAACCTAGATCTGCTATTCTAAATCATTTTGATGTGTGCAGTTAGTTGGATGAGGCCAAGTAAATGGATTTGAGAGCTTTCATGATCCTTTTTTTTATGATATAGCGTGATGTTTTTGTTATTGTTAGTGGCATTATCTTTCTATTATTCTATGATATTTTCTTTTGAATTCTCAAAGTTATCTATTTACCAAATCGAAGCCAAATTTTTATGCATTTGGATCTTTGTTGACTATATTCTTGTGAAGGGATGAAAATAATACTATTTGGTGTGACAGGTAGGAGAGGATGAGTTTGGACATATGTTGGCTGATGTACTGAAAGAAAACAAAGTTGATATTTCTGGTATGAGGTTTGATTCCTCAGCAAGAACTGCGTTGGCATTTGTTACACTCAGAGCTGATGGTGAGCGTGAATTTATGTTTTTCCGCAATCCGAGTGCTGATATGCTTCTTCGGGAGTCAGAACTTGATATTGACTTAATTAAAAAGGTATTACTTCTAATTTCTTGCCTAAACTACTATATGCTACTTTTGGGAAGATTCTGTTTTGATTTATGAAGTTAAACATCCAATGGCAGGCAGCCATCTTCCACTATGGTTCAATTAGTTTGATTGAAGAGCCATGCAAGTCCTCACATCTAGCTGCAATGGCCATTGCAAAAAAGTCTGGGAGCTTACTGTCTTATGACCCAAATTTGAGATTGGCTTTGTGGCCTTCAGCTAATGCTGCTAGGGAGGGTATAATGAGTATATGGGACCAAGCAGATATTATCAAGGTATAAATTGCCCAAATGGTGGAACTTTTAGATCTGTGGGTGTATATAGGAGCATTTTTTCTGCCAATTTTTTTCTATGTTTCCTAAGAGTTTACTGGCCTCTTCCAATCTGGCAGATAAGTGAGGATGAAATCACATTTCTGACTGGAGGTGATGATCCTTACAATGATGATGTGGTATTAAACAAACTTTTTCATCCAAATTTGCGACTTCTACTGGTATCTGAAGGCTCACAGGGCTGCAGATATTACACAAAGGTGAACTTCAAATCACTCCATGCATGCTACTGATCTCAAGTAAAGCATCCTGTAACCTAAGCCATTGTAAGACTTGCTAAGCCATAGCCGTGCTTGATTATAAAACCAATTTTCCTATTCATATCATTTCTTATTGCCTCTGAGATAAGGAGCAACTTCCTTGTGAACAGGACATTTTGATATCTTGGACTTAGTCTGCAATGTCTTAAGTTATACGCGTGCATGTGTTTCAAGATAGTTTGTTGGATCAATTCAAATGTTTTCATGAAGTAACTGAGCTGCTGTGATATTGACATAAAGAAATTTCATTTTTACAGCAATTCAAGGGAAGAGTTCCTGGTTTGAAAGTCAAACCTGTTGACACCACGGGTGCTGGTGACGCATTTGTTGGTGGATTATTGGGCAGATTGGCTTCTGACCTAAATCTTTATCAGGTAAGCTGACATATGTGCAGTTAGATAAACGTTCAATGCCATTTAATACCATTTACTTCTGAGGATTATTTAGACCCAGAATGTTTAAATTTATCAAGCTGTATTTCATAACTTAACTGGGACCCCTCGTTCATGTCTTAGTTCTCAAAATGCAGATATCATTGCCAGTGCCTTTTCAAAGGTTCTAATTGTCAAATCAAATTTAGATTCATTTACTGATGAGTGACCAACAGTCATGGAACAATCCTATGAGTGCTCCACAATTGCCATCTATTAAAAGAATTACTACATCAATAAGGATAGAGCAAAAAATGGTTTAGATTAAAATATTCTTGTTGAATGTGTGGGCAGGATGAGAATCGGTTGAGGGAGGCTCTATATTTTGCCAACGCCTGTGGTGCACTAACCGTAACAAAGAATGGAGCTATCCCTGCCCTTCCAACAATTGATGAAGTCGAACGACTTGTAAGCGAGGTCGCTGCTTGAGTAGAATGTTATACAATTAGTCACTCACTCTTATCCTGTTTCTCCTGCGTGGTTTGACTTGTTTAATGTAACTTGGTTCCGCTGCTGCGGCAAGCATGAGTTCCTCTTGACCTGCACTTGATAAATAGCGGTCTGCGATTCAGCCGTCGTAGAAGGGTAGCTACAGAAGTTCCACCATTTTCCCTATTTTCGTGGAGCAGGGAGGGTCTGCGGTAAATGCTGTTTCTCCAGCTTCCCGAGGAAGGAGGTAAAAAATCCTCTTCTTGCCTGCTGGTAGGTAAGAGACACAAGCTGATCCCGTCCTAGGGAAATTGGAAGTCCATTCAACATGAATGGATGGTGCAATCAACTGTAACTGTGGGACGGCATATCTACCAGTTCATGCATGCACCATAGTCAATTCTGATAAATTCCAGCATTTGTATGCTTGCAAAATCTCAGAACTATGGAAGCTCTAGCACTTGAAAAAGCAATATTGGTGCTTGCTAAGTTGCTGCATTTTGGTGCCGTTTTTTTTTTTTTTTTTTTTTTTTTGAAAATAAAAGCGGAACTTCATTAAAGTAAATCTGCATTTGCAGCGTACATAATCTCCTTTGGGAAGTTTACAAACCAGACGTGACTTCCCTCGAGTGACAGAGACAAATGAGACAATAAATGAGCAGGAACATTGTTCTTCCTTCTCACATGTGAAACCCGTATGTAACAAAAATCCCTCAGCATGTCTCTAATGGCTCTGATCAAGTTTACATTGTTTTGGTGCCGTTTTTAAGTGTGTGTTTTGTTGGTTACCGGTTAATGCTGGTCTGTTACGTGTTAACACTAGAAAAAATGGTCATTTAACTACTTTAGTACATCAATTAGGTTTTACCGGTTAATGCTGGCCAGTGTTCCTTTAATCACCGTATGGGCTGATGAGTAGAAAAGGTTTTACCGTTTCTTTGATCTCGCAGCCAAAGAAAAGGTTCATTCATTTGGCTTATAGACAGAAATTTAGAGGGGAAGAATTGAAGTTAGTAAAGCCATTTTCTGTCACTTAAATTTGAAAACGAGTAAATGACAAAAACTCGTTAACAACATTACATGGGGTGTCAATTAATTTGAGAATCCATTTTTTTTTTTTAAATAATGCAGAATCGTTGCGAAATGCCCACCCAACGCCGTCGGCATGTGCATTTGCAATCAAAACGTGAAATTTAAATAAAACTTTATTTATTTATTTATTTTTTGGGGGCAGAAGTAGAGTGCATATTAATCACACGTAGCGGCCGGCGGGGAAAGGAAGAACTCAATAGTGGGATTGCGAAGAGAGAATAAGCCCCTTACCAGTTACCCAGTTATGAGTTGCCGGGGGCCGGATTTGCAAACCAACTCGCTTGCTTATACTTACTTCTAGTAATAGTCAATAATCAATAATCAATCTGGGTGGTGGTGGTGGTGGTGGTGGTACTGGGCTTCTTGTGTGCGTCGTCAGACGGACGATCATCCCTCCCATCATTATCCATTCCTTCCCAAGATCTAACCCTTCCGTCTTCGTCCGATATGGCTGCCAATGTCAACCCCAATCCCACTCCTGAGGCCAATGCCGTTGCTATCCCCGAGATCGGACCCGATGGCCTCCGTCGAGAATCTCCTGTCATTGCCTACACCGAGCAGGTAACTCCTCTCTTTCTCCCTCTCTGTACTGCTTTGAAATGTCAGCGTGTTTACTTGATTTTTGTTATTATTATTAGATATATATTTTTGGTTTTGGATTCAAATTTACAAATTGAGTCTGTTTTTTGGTTTTGGGTGTTGTTTCAGAAAATCGAGGAAGAGCAGCTTCAATTGCAAAAGTATGTTCACTTTTTTGCCCATCCCACTCCGTTCTCTACTTGCATTGCTATTAGACTCTCTCTCTCTCTCTCTCTTTGTTTTCATGCTTGCGTTTCTGTCATTCTCTCTCTAGATTTTTTGCTATTTCAGTTTTCTTCTTCTTATGATTCCGTTTCCATACTAGAACACTTTTTGTTTCATCTGTATTTGAGCTTTGTTTTTTTCCTTTCTTCGAAGTTTGTTCTTCTATCTTACTTCTTAATATGTTTTGTAGTTGCTTCAGGGTTAGTAAAACTTTTACCTGAATGAAACATTTCTCCTCCTCCATCGTGTCCTACATTTCATCTTATTTGAATCGTTCCCCTTGTTGCAGTGTCCGACCGTAATTAACCTGAGTTTGACTCAGAAAAACTGTATTTAGCAGCTTTAATTGGAAAGAAGAACGTTATAAACAATAAATAGAAAAGGAAAAATGGCCTTTCACCCAGACCCTTAGCTGATGCAGGTGATTCGTTGTTATCAATAACCTCATCATTTAAATTCTCCCCCTGCTTGCATATCTGTGGCACTATTCATAGTTGCTTTCCCTATGGGGGTGGGGTTAATCAACAGATGATTAAGAGTCTGAGAGCAATTGGATATATTAAATCGATGACCCTGATAACTAAGTCGAGCTCTTGCTTCATTTCTTGAAAGGTGTCCATCCAGATCCATAGAAGGGGTTCTCACGAGTGATTCTTCACCATACTTGTCCCCATTTCTTTTTTTCCTCTCACCTATCAATTCAACTGTCATTTTAGAGAGATACGTTATGCCTCTTTCATGCCTTCTACTAATTTTTCTCTCTCATTTCTCATCCACTCTACCAACTAATCTAGTGCATCCGTCTTGTAGTGTTTAGTGAATCTATTTGCCCTTTTATAAACTCGTATTTTTCTGTTTATCTTACTCCACACTGACCAAGCTAATCCCAACTTTCTGTTTCCATGGGATATCAGATTACTGCAAGCATCTCTTTCCAGTGCCCAATAAATGTCTATAAGTATTAGAGAAGTGCCTTAGGTTTGATATCTTCACAAGGGGAGATTGGTTAAGAGTGTAAAATTTTTTCTCTTTTGAATCTTTGCCTACGGTTTGGATAAGGTTAAGACGTGTTTTAGTTTGGGTTCATAAGTACCATACCTCTTTCTTGCTATGCTGTGAGGGATCTATAAGACATCCAAGGCTACCCGGCTGCTTTGTGCAAATAGTGTCTGTTATATCTTGCATCATCTTCATAGCTGAAATTTTCATGTCAGTTTTTCTTACTCCTCATGTGGTATATATATTTTTTTCTCAGGTACATTCAGGAAAACTATTCCAAGATTCGTGATGTTGAACGAGAATTGGCAAATCTTTCCATGGAGATGAAACTTACATCTGGCCCAAAAAAAGCAGGTCAAATGTGCTGTCATTGATACTTCTTATACTTCTGGAATATCTTTTGAAGCATTTAGCTGACTGGCTATGTTCTTCTCATGGATCAATACTACATCAGCTCTTGAGCACATGAGAAAGAAGATAGAAATCTCGAATGAGAAAATTCGTCTTGCTAGGCAAAAGGAGGAACTTGCAAGAAAGGTTTGTCTTTTTTTGATGAATCATTTTAAGTGGATACTAACATAGTGTGTGTTCCATCTGATATGTGATTCATTTGGCTTACATCTCTTTGCTTCAAAACATGCTCATCTTGTATTTTGTTTTGGAAACTATATTCTGATTTTTGATATTTTTGTGCCTAATGTTCTCATGAAGTCTCTTGCAGTCAATTGAGGAACCACTTTTTCTAATATTTATTCCATTCAAATAGATCTCCTCATATAACACTGTTGTAATTTAGTTACTGTCAAAAGTTAGCGATCTTCTGTCTTGAACTGGAAGATTAAGGAACAAACTGGTTAGTGACAAGAGGAAGATTTGAATTATGTAAGTTCATGCCAATAACTTGTTGGCTGTAATTTGGTTCGAGTGTCAATATCATAAGCTGCTAAACTGCTTGGCACACCTTGAGTAGGCATGAAATGTGCAGCAATTCATCCAATATGTTAAAAGGGGTTTCATAATCCAAAGCATTGTTTTTCTCATTTAGTTGCTTTGATCCGCAAAACTAATTAGCTAATTGAGACTATTCAAAAACTTGTCCTTGTCCAACTATAATCTGGATTGATCTCTTGGAGGGAATAACTCTTTTTCTTTTCCCCCTACCATTTGGTGGCTTTGTTTTTCAAGTGGGGGCTGAACCCTTCGCTTTTCATGTTTTCCATGAGTGAGACCTTAGAATCAAATGGATCCTAGTGCTGGATATCCTCAACCGTTTCTCCTATCAGTTATAAAATTTTCTTCTGATCATGCTATCACGTTTTGAATTTCAGGCTTGGGAAGAAGCATCAAAGGCAGTAAAAGATGAGGAAGCATTTAAGCAGAAGCTTTGCGAAGATTTGAATAACCTGGTAGATGTTATCACTTGTTGCATTGAAATTTCCTTAACATTCCCTGCCCTGTTGAATACAATTTTTCTCTGCAGGTACAAGAGAGTAGTAATGCTCAATTAGCTAGACTAGAGGAATTGAAAAGGCGGCTGGAAGCTCTGAATCCTAGCAGATCATCCGCATCTGTCCCAATTGTGAGTTCTTTTGCTTTAGTGTTGTTTCTTGGGAGGTGATTTGACCGTTCTGAAATTTCAATGCCATTCAAGCAAGTCTGTTTCTTCAAAAACTTTTTTTCATAATTTTAAATCCTTTTGGGCAAGTTTCTTGAAGGTTGAGTGGTATTAGGAGAATTCTTAGCTTTCCTATTTATTGCAGAAATCTTGAGGGAGTTCAGGGGTGAGAAATACTATCTTGGAAAGTACAATAAGATGCTGTTGCTTTCAGCTAAAAGCCAAAAACCATATTCCTTGATGCAGTGTTTGCTGAGTATACACATGTATATGCTGTGTGTGACATGTTTATGTATTCTTCTGAAGTTTGAAGTGTATTAATCTATCACAGACACGATGATATTAGGTAGCCCACATGGTGATGCAGTAATTACCCAATGTAGCATGGTATACTTCACACATTTGGATGAAAATATAAACAAGTTAGTGGACTTCTGTTCCTTTTATGGGTAGTAGCACTATAACTGGTTCAGGTTGGAATTTCTTGATGTTTTAGAACCTTCATCTTGTTGGGGCTACTGTAAAATTCAAGGAGCTCTTTTTAACATGAATTTGGTTGCATTACAAGTGCAATTCATGTGGATGCATATAATTACATGTTGACATCCATGAGGCATCCTTCTTAATATGGCTAAATTCTTATTCAGGATGGTGTTCCATTGGAACATTCACCCAGCAATAGAACTCAAGATGCTGCCTTAGGTACAGCTAGTGTGCAAGTAGCTAATGGATCTTCTGGACAGATATCTAGTCAAGGTAATGCAGGACATGGTCCAATAACAAATGGAAACCAAGGGCTTCCTGCATACAATGAAGGTAGAGGGAAGAAAAAAACTGTGCTACAAGGGAGGGGAAAGGGAATTGGAGCAGTACCCAAGGGTAGAGGTTCTGCAGCACCTGGGTGGACTGGGGCGGGTTTTGATGTTGATGGTAGAAGTTGAGACCAGGATTTCATGTATCTTTTTAGTGATCAGTATAGAGAGACTAGCTGACTTTCAATCAGGTACGGTATTCATACAAGAATTGTTTATAGTTTTAAAGATGATGCTTTTTCTGGTACTATTTTGATATAGAAACTGTTGTCAGCGAGTTTTCCGGCTTGGCAATATCTGTGAACCAGCCCATTTGTCCCTTCATGGACACCAATTATATTTATTGAATGAGATGCATATAAGGTTCAATTTTGGGTGATTCATGCGTATATCTGGTTTATAGGTAATAATTGACGGATTTCCAAATATACCACAGGTTTACTGTGAGTGATGAAGAACCTCTTGCTTTCAGTGCCAATAATAATTTGACTGTGTTTCTGGGTTCAGTTTCTTCTAAAGCATTGTACCATAATAATCGTGTTTATACTTGTTACCAGATTGTCCTAATGTTTCCGGGGCCATTTTCTTAAAAATCTGCAGAATCATGTTTAATGCCACTGGTAAAAGATGAATGCTGTGCCAAGCAGATGATGACATGGAATTTACATCATATCAGTTTCACATATTTAATGACTTATTTGCTTATATGAGTCTTGTCTTTTGTTTTAGCGCATGATGGGATCTTCTGCTGCCTCTGTGCTTGTAGTATCGTTTCATGTGCTAACTTGATGCAATGAAATGTTTTGGCGTGATGAGCCTGACCACCCGCAGGAGGCAGAGGAAGCTAATTATATCCTCTGATCTAACCCTCTGCATAAACTCATTTTCTAGTAAGAGGATAAGTCGGGCCTCGGGGAGACATATACTGGAGTGCGTTATTATGTCCTGCAGTCGGTAATAATTTCAGACAGACATGGTAGTATTATATGCAGCTGCGTGATGGCAACAGCGTCAAGTGGTTGAAGAACCTTAATACTGACAGGCTGTATGACCTCCACGTTTTAACAGACCGTTGATTACTTGGAAAAGTCTCTGTGAGGTTTCAAAATTTCGCACTGCTCCGACTGGCTGCACCTAAGTTCACTTGAGTTCAGATAATTATGTGAGCACAAATGACAATTTTAGTTACCATTCACCTTCTTGTTTGCACATACATCTGCAACTACCTGAGTGCCAGTACAGGGAAGATTTCTACACATTAACTGTGAGAAAATAGTAATGCAAACAGATTTCTATGGATCCCTTCCCCTCAAAATAAAGAACTCTTGTGCTCATAGTGTCGAGCAGCAAGCATCTACACTAATGATATGAATTGATTTCACAGGTCGCATTAGGAAATTGGCATTCCAGGACTAGCTCCATCGCGGTCAACCATTATCTGCATAGAAAATCAAGGGAAATTCCATAATGTGATATACCATATTGCGGTATGGTAAATCACATTTTGTAAAAATAAGAGCGTCACCAACACACCAAAAAAATCGTTAGATATTGCAAATATGGTACAGGACATGGACATGGCGGGTGATGCCCTGAAACAATTATTAGCCTTTGCAACAAAGAGAAGTACCGGTGGGATTGGACGATGTTTTTAGCGATTCTGGCTGAATTTAAGAGCCCTTTCTTTTCGGCGGTAATTTGGTAGCCCTTTCAAAATACAAAAGCTATAATCAGTTGAGGATGGAAGTAGTCATTTACCCCCCAAAAATAAAAATTCGAATTTTTTAATAAGCCTAAAATTTTTCCTAGTACTAGCGGTATAAAATTTCCATTATTGCTGAATGAAAAGGTGTAAGCGCTTCAAACTTTAAAGCGCTACTCACCTTTCTGCAGTCTGAACCGGCATCAAAGTTTTGTGGAGTACCACTAATCTACTGCCAAGCAAGTACCCGACATCATTCAAAGTGATGAAACTAGTTCGACCAATCATCGAACTCTGCTCCTGCTCCTACTGCCCGTCTCTTTCCTCAAATTCATCATGCGCCAAAACAACGTGACTGATTTTTCTTCGTATTGATATGACTGATCCACATTGATTGCTTGTGATCGACATTTGCATCAGATTGGACACACTCTGTTAGTATATGACCGCTAAATTTGAAAGTAGATATCGTCTACAAAACGAGGCGTGGATATTTACCAGCTAGCGTACATTTATTTGGGGCTTTAGTTTGTTTGGATAGTGTATTATTTGAAATATTATTTGGAATAATTACTGTAGCACTTTTTGTGATGTGATGTATGTGAAATAAAAAGGTGATTGGGAATATAAAAAGGTGTGTTGGAAAATGTATCTATGATGCAAGCGAAATATTATTTGGGATAATTGGGGTATCCAAACACAATTAATGTTTTTGAACTCCAAGTGAAGGAGCTTTCGGTTCACTGTTCGATTGGTTCAGCTACGATTTAAAGGTTGAATTATTATTTTTATTTATTTTAATATTAAAAATTTTGAAGAAAATTATTATATTTGCTTTAAGAAATAAAAATTATTGAAAATCGTCAATTTTTTTATAAATTTAACCAATTTTTGATCGAATTTGAACGATTCAATTGATTTTTTTGAATTAATAATCGAACTAAATCAAAAGCGTAGCTGATTCGTAGCTCGAACCGAATGACCAATGAGTTGCAAAAATGCGCGAGTACTACTAGCAACCGTTAGTGCCTTGGAAAAATTGCCGAGTAAGTACCTCTCGCAGCTTTTGCCATCTTGGCGAGCATAACACAACAAAACAAGTGGACTGCACAGTCTTCGAAGAGGACTCGTTTGAAAAAGTAACGACTGATCAAAACTTGTCGTGGTGATGAAAAGCATGAAACTTTCCTCAATTAAACCCCCGAAGCACGGTGTCTCAGGTTAGCGGCGTTCAGTCTCAGGGATACAATTACCACTACCACTACCACTACCACCTTGAAAGAAATATACCCTACTCTTTTGCGCCGCTGCTCTGACGCGCAGCCTTCGTCACCCGACCGCATCAACCCCATTTCTCTGTCATTGGGACAAGAGACTATATCAATACGGTCCTTTCCTTCCTAATAATTAATAAATTCTTTTGATCATTCTTCTCTTTTGCCGCTGTAGGATGTACGTACGGCCCATGCACACCGTGGGTATTATATATCATGTACTGCCGTGGGCAAATAATAACCGGATTCGGAAGAAAGGATAAATGGGGAGACAATTAAGTGTATGTATGGTGAGTGCATCACTTCACACTGTTCACAGTCACATACATGATTGATTGATACAAATACGGAGTAAGAAATGCGAGTCAGTAGTGCTCACTGAGTTGTGGGGGGGGGGGGGGGCTGGGTTAATTTATAGTTTTTGGTCTGTGAATCTGTTGGTTTTGAATTAAGAATCGAGTAGTGGGGGGGATATATTATTATTACCCAGATGATATATACCAGACAACCTTAAAGTTGCTATTCCACCTCGCTTTTCCTCCTCGATCCTTTGCTCTGTATCAAGTTAGCAAGGGAAAAGAAGCACAAGCTACCTATTAGTTTTTTGTTGGTTTTCTTTTCATTAAAAACAAACATCCGGAGGTTTAGTTTCTTGTTTTTAATTCAACACTAACCGTCCGTCTGCATTCTGCTGCTGTATTATATTTATTTCCTCAGATTCCACCCAAATTACTGGCTTGCATCCTGCTCTGATCCATCCATTTGTCTCGTGGGCACTAGTTTCCAGAACTGGGAATCAAATCATTGAGATTCCCTTTTACAACGCCCCGGCCCTGGAAAGCTTTGAAAGAGTGACGTGACACACGTGTTCTTTTTCCAATGGTGGCGTAGAAGAAGAAGATCGAAGAAATACTCGTACGATAATTTATTATTCGGAGTACTTCAGAGACATCATCATCAGTAGTGATTAATAGAATATCCCTGGACTAAGTAAGGTTCTGAGTGAGCGGAGCTTGGGCCTACAACTACAAGCCCTTAGTTTCATTTTGAACTCGTTATACAATTTACAATTACAAGTCCGTCCCCCGAATCCAACAGGAGGAGGAGATGAGGTTATGGGAATGGGACCCCAAAATCAGCCAATAATGGCATCTGCTCACGTGAAGGGACCATGTGACCTCCGTCAGACCTTGCTCTTATTCGGTCTCTCACCCGCCACTGTTCCCATGCGGACGTGCCCCTTCCCAGTTCTCAGCTCTCAGCTCTCAGCTCAGCTCAGGTGGTCCCTCCCTCCAACCAACCGACTAGCCGTAAGCCGCAGCCGCCTCCATTGCCGTTTCATGCACCAGCGACTCCACGATGCCACGTTCAATCTCCGATACTATCTCCTCTCCTCCTCCTCCTTCTTCTTCTTCTCCTCCAAATGATTCTCTTCCCAGCCGGAAATCCGCGTCCACCAGTGCATCTATGTCTTCTAGAACCTGACAGTTAGCCGCAGGAAACATGTTGATTCTGGAGCACAACGTGTCAATCAACTCTGACCCGTACATTTGACCACGCGGCCGCAGGTGGCAGCTTGGCTTCATGCATAGATAGGGCTTGAGAATTTCTGCTAGCAGCTCGTCCACCAATTGGAAAACCAGCCTTCTGTTGGACCTCAAGGTCAAGTTGGAAGGGCTTGTGGAGGTGGAAACAGGGGCGGTTAATGTGGTGGGGTGAAAAAGTTCGAGGTAGTGAAAGATGGAAGGGTCCAGAGGGCGAGACGCGGAGTACCATTTGGCCAGGGCCACTGGGGTACTTTTGTCTATACCCGTACGCTTTAGTATTCTTTGGATGTAGCACTGATATTCCGCTACGGATGCTTCTGCTTTATCACCGATACCGGGGGAGGTGGAGGTTAAGATGGTAGAACTTCCGTTGCGACGACATCTGTCATCTTGGATGTTTTCTTGAGTAATGGCGGTGAGTATGTGCGTCGCCTCTTTCTCCTGCTGCTCCTCCTTGTTGTACGACTGGCTCGAACAACTAGATAATTTTTGTTTGCGCCTTTTCCACGTTTCAGCATCAGGTGCCTGTGGCTTTTTTTTTTTTTTTAATTTTAAATTTTTAATTTTTTGGCCCCCATGACGCAAGTCGACAAACTTAAACTTAGTAAGAAGACCCCAAAAGTTTAAACTAAAAAAAAAAAAAAAAAAAGAAAATATATGTACTGAGAACTAAAGCAGAAGAAGAACGTCAAAGATGGTTTTATCGTGGCAGTAATTAATTAATTATTTTTTACCTGTTTATCACATACTACTTTGGTTGCTGGAAAAGGGATGTCTTTCTTGACAGGTAAGAGGGTTGGGGCCGCAGTACCGCAGTTGAGAAGGTCATGGGAAAGTGGAGTCTTCTTGCATTTCTTGTCTGCGACGTTTCCTTTGTTTGTGGTCGCTGAACGAATGAATGGCTCTTCCTTTTTGTTCCTAATGCCATCGGAAACTTGCAGAGGCTTTTTCAGACGGGAGGTGTATTTCTGGCTGGCAACGGCATCCTTCTTGCATTTCTTGACTGCCGGGGAGTTTTTTTGGTGATTTGGTAAATGCTCTTGTAGACTCGGAGCAACTTGAGGAATTGGCTTGGACAACGGGGAGAGCCTTGGAGAATGTTGCGCAGACTGAGTGCTATTGACAACTGGGGGCTTGTTCTTGGGATAATAATAATAATAAGAATAATATTCCGAGAGCCTCGGAGAGCAAGATGGTGTTGATTGCTTGACTTGGCTAGAATCATCGCCAACCAGTGCTCTTGTTAAGGCCGCCTTGTTGTTATTATTAAATGGTTTGTTGGGTTTGAGGAGAACAACGTGTTCGTCATCATCCCTTGGCTGCTCCACCCTGCTCATGACTCTGTTGGTTATGTCGAGCCCTACTTTTCTGCTTACCCTGTCCTTCACTTGCTTCACAATCTGCCCGGCATAATGACCGCTCCTTCTGCAATTTTCATCTTCTCGTCTGGACTCTGATATCCTCCGGGCCAATTTCCTTGCTGTGTAAGCTGAGAATTCGAGCTCCTCGCCCATAATGCTCTCTTTGTTGCTGATTTGAAGGGATAGCCTGTGTTCCGCATCTGACCTCCTTGCTGACGATATTCTAGGTGTCTCAGGCAGGGAAAGAGTACCCGCGGTGAAGTCATTCTCCGGAAAACTTCTGCTGCTGTTGTTGGCACTGCATGAACGTCGTCTGTAGACGAGGGATTGTTCCCTTCTCTGACTTTGTGCTTGAGGATGCATGTGGGAGCTTGTTAGAGAATTTAGAGTTGAGGCAGCATTAGAAGTGCTCTCAGTCTCAGGAAGTTGATCCAGGCCCATTAGTCTAGCAACCAGAGTTGGAGTTTTGGC